TGTGGCTGCCGCGCTGGCGTCGCCGGCGTAAGCAGAAACACGCGATCAGCCCCAGCAGCAAGACTGCGAGCACCGCGATGAGCACGAGTGTTAGCGTCGATACAGCGGGGTCGGGCGTGTCTCGGTGGGTCTTGGCGTCGTGGATTGCAGCGAGCCACGCGTCCATGGCCGTCGACGGGCGCGGCAGACACCACTCGACATTCGGCGGCGAAAACACCATGCTCGAGTAGTTGCTTGGCTTGTACACGGTGCATGGCACGATGAGCGAGCCGGGCGACGTCGCCGACGGACACTTGCCCCACGCGGTCTCGGCAAACTGCGCGGGTACCGTGTGAATCGCATAGAGGAGAAAGCTGGGAAAGCCGATGCTGTGCCACTCGTGGCGCCAAAGGCGTGGGTCCGGCACGGTCGTCGCGTCGAGGCCGTCTTGGGCCCACATGCTCGCGTAGCTGTTGGGCGTCGTCGTGTCGGGCAGCAGTGGCACCGCGCACTTGACGACTTTGCCGAGGAACATGCCATGGGCGTTCTCTTGTCGGCTGTAGTTGCCGTCGGCGCCCGCGCAGGCGCGGACGGTCGCATTCGCCTGCGACGCCAAGAAGGCGGCTTCCGAGACCGCGATCGACGCCATCGAGTCGCCCATGTTGCTCGTACCGGCGCATGCCGTGTACACTTGGGCGACGTCGTCCGGGAATGTGCTCGCGCGGACAAGGCCCATGTCCCAGAGCAGCGCCTCCTTGGCGAGCGCCGTGAGGTCCGACCACACGAGGCCATGGGTGTCGAGGCGCGCCGTGGCGGGCGGCGGCGGCGATGATGGCACCAGCGCGTCGCCGACAACGCCGGCGCTGTCGAGCGCGCGGAAGCGAGCCACCAAGTCGGCGCTCTCAGCCCACGGTGTTGGCATCGTCTTGACAACTGGTCAGCAGGCGAGACTGTTGCTGATCTTCGAAAGCGGTGGCGGCTTCAATCATGTCCCATATCGGGCCATTTAAAAAAAATGTTGATGTCGTTGTATGCATTTTATGACGTACTCCGCGACGCTGGCCACCAAGGTATTAAGCTGCAATTTGAAGCTGCTGATCGCAACCTGAGATTCTCAGGCGCCTATCATCGCCTCGTGATGGACGCTCCTTCGTGGGCTGCTTGGCTCTATGCTGGCATAGCGGTAGGCGGCAGGCGCGTATGGGTAGTAGGCGAAAGGGCGTGGAGGTCTTGTGGAGTGTGAAGCCGGTGCAAAGTCGGTGGCGTGCAGGAGCGACATGGGCGTGAGTTGCACCTCGCTGGACCAGGTGTCTCGGCCGTCTGCGTTAGCGGCGCGATCGCATTTTGCTGGGAAAGAGCCAATCGCACGACGTTGGACTAGGATTTTTAGCCAATGACTGACTGCCAATGCGATTGCCCACCCCACAACCGCGATCAGCGGACGTGACGTTGAAGCACTTCGATGGATGAGTACCGTACATACTATTACAACTCAGTGTACGACTGCCATGCACAAATCCAAGCTACTGGATTAGTACCAGGCAGTGGCATCGAACTGTTGGCGCGGCGTCGTGGCGGCCAAAGGAATCTGGACTCCGCTTTCGGCAGGTTCGTCATCGCCCTCGTAGACTGCATGTATGCGAAGGGCGGGGATGGGATCGACATGCACAGTGCCATCCGGCTCTTGAGCGGTGTTTCGCCTTCGCATAATCTTGTCAACCCAAGGAACAACAATGGACAACGACTTTTTTGAAGCTAACGTTGCGCGAACCTTACAGCAGGGTGTGCGACGTCGTGGCATGGGCGATGGGTTACCCTGATGTGGTTTTCTGGAGCCAGCTGATCCTTGAGCTTCCTGCGACGTGCAAGGTCCCGGAGGTCTGAACTCACTTGATGTTAGCTGATAGCTCGCCGGTACGATAGGCACACGCTGCTGGCGCACGGTAAAGCTCCCATGCTGGCGTAAGCAAGATGCGTGGCCCTCTCTGTCGACACCAAGCGTAATACCCGGGACCATGAGTTCAGCAATCGCTTCTGCAAGCGTGGGACTTGGAGAGAAGACAGTCTCGTCTATAAAGATCTCTAAAGCCCTAAAGCCTTGGTGGAAGAGCGAAGGGGGAGCCTCATTCTCGTGCGTTGTTGTGGCCGTTCGTGAATACCACTTTGAATGACAGACAACGGCGAGCGCACCGCAACGACCGAGTCTTCCGTCCGAGGCGCCCGCCGTGACGCCCGAAGCGGCCGCCACTCGCGCCGCGGTCTTGACCAAGCTGCACCTTCAACATTTGCTGCTGAATACCCAAGCGCTGTGTCTCCTCTTCGAAATGATAAACGTCCTGCGCCACGACGCCTGGCTTCGCGACCACCTCGTTCCAGCTTGCGCCATCCTTGAACCTCGCCTTCGCGACGGCCAAGCCTCGCTGCTGCTGTCAGTCACAATACGCTCCGAGTTGAAAGTCCACCTCCAAAAACAGCTCAGTGGAAATTATATCTCAATAGTCTCACTTCCAAAACAACGGGGAGCGTAGTGTTACGTATTACATCAAGCTCGAAGAGTTGCAGACACTGCATTGGTGCTAGCCCATCCGTCGTCGTTCAACCAAGGCCATTGCGATCCTCGATCAGCACGCAAAATTGCAATGGCTGGGATGTTTCCCGCCATTTTTGTTGGGTGGAGTACCTCTCAGAATGCATCATACCATGCATTATGACGGTATTTCAATCGGCGACGGTGATTGGCCAAAATCTTTTGGCGGGACCCCCCGGGTAAGTTTCGTTTTTGGCCGCGATGCGTGGAGGGGCGAGTGCAGACGAGATCGCCGCTGCCTTTGGCAGCCGCAGCTTGGCCCTCGAGGACGACGCCCTCGACACGTGCGTCGCCTTGTGCTTGGAGTACGGCGTCTCGGGCGAGGCCTTTGCCGACCACTGGGACGCCTACTCGATGAACGCCAACGTGACGCTGGCGACGCGAGATGCGCTCGCTGGCTTCCGCACGACGTTGAGCGAGAAGGCCAAGGCCAAGCCCAAGGCGCCGACCAAGTCGATCGTCAAGCGCGAACCGCTTAGCGAGACGCCCAAGAAGCGCCCGCCGCCGTCGTCGTTCCAGAGTCCCGAGGCCAAGGCGCAGAAAGCGTCGGGCCTCTTTTCGCCCTCGTACGCTGCCACCCATCCCACACGCATGTATGATCTATCCGCGCGTATGTAGATCGTTCCAGTCGCCGCCGTCGGCCGCCGAGTACGCGGGGCGGCAGAACGCCGGCGAAGTCGTCGACTCGTTCAACGCGTCACTCAAATCGATGGTCCCCGAGACGACGCACGCGGCCGCCGTCGAGATCGCGCTTCTGGCGCCCGAAAAGCACATGCAGCCGTCGTCCAACTTTATGTACACGCCGAGCGCCGAGCGAGCGATTGCCCTCGATGCGCAGCTCGTCGCGTTTCAGGACGCGCTCGCCGCCGCGAATCCCAACATGGAGTTTGGTGCAATCGGGGATCCGTCGCCCGCGACCGTCACGGTGGTGGGGCGCATCGTGTGCGAGGCTGCCGAAGGCAAACTCAACTCGAGCGTTGTGCAGCTCGAAGGCGCGCGTCCCTACTGCGGTGGCCAGCGCGTGCTCCTCGACCTGAGCCAAGTGCCGACGTTTGAGGTGTTTCCTGGCAAAGTACGCTTGGTCCTTTTGATACGAAAAAGCCGATGCGACGATCATGCTTGTTTAGATAGTGGCCGTCGAGGGCGTTTACAGCGACGTGCGCAACCCGATGGCGGTCCGCCACATCATCGACGTACGTCATTTTGTAGTTCGTTTCGAGTGGCATCGATGCGATAGCCGAGCATGCTTCCGCTGCCGACGACACCCAAGGCGACGCTGCGGACCCTTCATGCCCAGCACGGCGGCCCGGTGCGCTTCTTTCTCGCATCCGGTCCGTTCACGCCCAATACGGACGCTAACTACCAGCCACTGCAAGACTTGTTTGCGGTGGCGATGAAGGAGCAACCCGACGTCGTCATCCTCGTACGTCCTCTCTGCCTCGATGCACAAGGAATAAGTGATGCGGTAGGTCGGTCCGTTCATTGATGCCAACCACGCGAGCTTCAAAGATGGCATTGCCACATACGACGACATGCTCGTGTCCTTTGACGATATCTTTCTCTTGCACAGTACGTTGCTCGCATCGCGACTGCCTCTCAGCCCTTGATAGTTATGGCCCGCATCAACCAGCTGCTTGCCGCCGTGCCAAACCTCCAAGTCGTGCTCATTCCGTCACTACGCGACGTCAACCACGCGTACGTGTACCCGCAGCCGCCGTTCGACCGCCTGAAAACCATGGAAGCACTCGACTCGCCCAGCTACGAAAAGGTATACCGTGTGGTTCTTGGAGTGCTTGGTGGAGATCGATGTAGCGCGTGCACTTGATGTCGAATCCATGCACCTTTTCCGTCCACGGCACGGTCGTTGGCGTCACGTCGTCTGATATTCTCTTGGAACTCGGTGGCGCCGAGCTGCACCGGTCCGTCCCATCGTACTTACAATCGATCGCTAAACTGTACGACCTCGGTAGCGCGCAAAACCACGCCCAGCAGCGCCTCTTCCGCCTCTCCGAGCAAGTGCTGCGCCAGAAAAGGTACTTTTGATAGATTGATAGATGGAAACATGCATGGACGGAGGTAGCTTTTTCCCGCTGTTTCCATCGACGGCCGAGACACCGCTCGACCTCAAGTACATGGCGCAGTACGAAATGCCATTGACACCCGATATCCTCGTGCTGCCGTCGGTCTTGAACCGCTTCTGTGGCGTACGATCCAAGTCGACCCATCCTTGCACGCACTCATTTCTCATAGAGCGTCCAAGATACGCTGTGCATCAACCCCGGCCAGCTCTCGAAAGGTGTGGCTGGCGGGACGTACGCCAGCGTCACGATTCTGCCGCTCCCTTCGTTGGCCAGCGGCGACGACGACGACCTGGTGCCGCACGACATTCTCAAGCGCACCGTGACCGAGATCAAGCGCATTTAAGCAGCGAATCAAACAATACTATGCGGCGGGGCTAACATGGGTATATGTGTATTGAGCCCCGAGTTGACCGTCCAAGTCTTTCAACGTCATCGGATCAGACCGAGACCATATCCTTAGGGTTGTGCGATGGCGTCTACCGGACAATGTCTCGCATCAGACGACACGATCTTATTGCGACAGAAGAAGCGGTACATCAGCTCGTGCGTCGGCGGAAAAATCACTCGTGCTCATGACGGGGATCTTGGAGTGGCGGCCGGCCGAGTCGCGCCTACATCGATCATATCAGTCTCGCGGCTCGTCGACAGATTGTTGTCGTATTACGAGAGAAGAAGCGCTTGCGTGTCTTGGTACAGCATTTTGAGAAGGCAGAGAACGCCCACGACGAGCATGACCTGCAGCACGGAAAAGACGTTGGCCCAGCCGCACGTTGTCGTACACACGTCTTGGAGCTAGTCCATGGATATAAACATCAATCGATACTTGATACTTTGATAGATGGAGACTACCGTGCACGTTTGCTCGCAGTGCGCGACGGCGCCAACAACAAACTGCATGAGCGCCGCGCCAAAGCTGCCGGTTCCGTCAATGATGCCAGCGACGGTCGCGAGCGCGGCTTGGTTGCCGTGGAGCGACGGGTGCGTGCCGAGGTCGGCGGAAATTGCCGTCGTGATGAGCGTCTCGGGACCGCCCGTGAGGAGCCCCAGCGCAAAGAGGATGATCGCGGTCTCGTGCTCAGTCGCGCCAAACAAAAAGTGCAGCACAATGCTACCCACAGAATTGTTGGCAAACATATCAACGTATCAAGAAAGAACCGACGCGGAGAGTACGAGCGAAACGACGACGTACGGCGAGCGCACTTGCATCCGGTCGGTCGCGTAGCCGCCCGAGATGGCGCCAAGAATGGCCCCGCAGTCGTACAGAATCTGCCCAAACGTTGACGCTGCAAAACGGTTTGAGAACGTACCGAGTAAAAGTTGGCGCGGGACGTGTCCATCGAGAAGGCGACCGTGAGGTAGTACGGTACCCAGAAGAAGAGCGAGTAGCTCACCGACTTGATGCACGCATACGCCAAGGCGTACGGCAGTACCTATGTGCGAATACAACCCATTCAGGGTAGGTTTCCGATGGCCCTCGCAACGTACACCAGGAATGAGCCACGCACGCCAAAACGAAATCCCAGGGACATGCGACGGCTTGACGAGCGTCGGTTCGAGCATATTGGGCTTGGTCATCGGCGTCTCGGGCGTCTCGTTGTCGGCCACGAGCGATGGGGCGTCGGCCGGATCCGGAATCAAAAAGCAATACACGACGAGCGCAAGGAGCCAGAGCAAGCCGCCCGCGACAAGCAAGACGACCTTCCAAGCGATCGACGCATCCAAGTACGAGCAGAGAAGACCGACGAGCGCGCCGCCAAAAATATTGCCAAACGACGCGCACCCGCTCCACAAGCCCATGGCGACTACGACACATTACATCAAGATAGGTACCGATCAACGTATCAAGAAGTGCATGTTGCTGTACCGCCACGCTCATTGTGACCAAACCACTTGGACCTAGACACGTCCATGTTGAGAGAGGCCTGCAGAAGGCGGCGCGACGTACATGACGGCCACGTTGGACGGCCAGCCGCACGACTGCACGAGGCCGTTGATGCCCCAGAGCACGACGAAGAAGGCGAAGGCGTGCACGTTGGCAAAGCCCGCGAGGCCAAAGACGACGAGCGCGGCGCCCGTGCAGAACATACCGAGCGAGATGAAGAGGCGCAGGTCGACACGGTCGCCCATCATGCCGCTGACGTACAGGCCGGACGCGTAGCAGCCCATGAAGACCATGTCCATGATGCCGTACATGTTGCTTTGGCTCGTTGTCAAGGACGACTCCATCCACTCTTCGCGGCTAAGCTCGCCCTTGATGGACGAGAAGGATTTCCGCGCAACGTGGAACATGGCGTAGCTAAAGAACGTGATCGCAAACGTCCGCGCCTTGAGCTTCCAATGCAGCCCGTCGCCCATGTCGTCGCCCATCGTTGGCAGCGCCGTCTCTTGCTTTCTTGTGCCGGCCATCACCGAAGAAGGCGGTCTTGATCTCTGGCACGGTCGCAGGTGCGCCGGAACACTTGGCAGTGGACGGTACCAGCATGCTTCGTCCAATGAGACGACGCCAAAGTGTTTAAAACATAGTGTTGAAAACACTGGTCGACCACGTGGTCGCGACCCAAGGTCATGCTTGTCGTTGCTTCAGAGCCACGTTGATGTCGACCCAGTGGAGACACAGCAAGAGCATTGACAGCGACAGAAAAGCATTGATGCAATGCACGAAAATCTCCAAAATGAATGGTGGCTGGTCCGTGCCTTTCAAAGCTGCCACGGAGTTGAAGATGGGGTTGAGGGTGCGGATGTACCCATCATTATTGCACGAGAAAAGCTGGATCCCAGTTTGCCACCGGTGTTGATGAAGCTCAGCTATGAAGCTCTCTTAAGCTCAGCTATGAAGCTCTCTTAAGCTTTGAATAATATTTGCGCAGTAATAATGTAGTAGAGTTGAGCTCGTGTTTTCTTGGCAACCCAAGTGACGGGGCCCACGCGATCTCGCATGATCTCGCACCGCTGGTCGCAAGAAATGGTTATTTATCGATGTAGGAATACATACTTTAGAAGCATGGCGACCTTGAGAGAAAGCACACAGCAAACAATTTCACTGCATGGAACACAAAGGGACGTCGATGGGACCGGGTAGAAACCAGCGAAGTCTCGACGATCGGTTACTCGAAGATTCAACGTTCTTCGATTTCGGCTATGAAACCGTCGCGCCATCGAGCCGAGTCGAGCCGCCCCTCGAACGACCAACCGGTTCGACGCGATCTTTGCCGAACGGTTTGCGCGCGAAGAATGGCTCATTTCCCAATTTGCTCCCGAACCCAGCAGCAGCCGATCGACAATGTGGAGCTCCCAGTCGGACGAGGACCATGACATGATGGACGACGCTGCGTCGCAAGCGCCGGCGCAGGAAGACCCCGGGCAGCAGGTTGGCGGCGATGGCGAGAACCTCGACGAAGAGATGGCCGCCATGAAGCACGTCTTCCAGCGCATGTCGGAGAAGGTAGCATGCTACATGCAGTAGCACCCTTGCGGTGACCTCATGCGCATGCTGTGAAGAAAGCCCGGCAGAAGACCCAGGGCATGGCCGACTGCGTCCAGGTGTACACGGATGCGTTCCAGAAGGATCTCGATCAGCTTTTTGCGCTCGCCAAGAAAAAGCGCATCGCGGAAGCCCAAGGCGTCAACGACACGATCCAAACCACCATGAGCCAGATCGAGGAGCACAAGCGGGACCTTATGTACGCCGATGGAGCGCGCTTCATGGCCATCCTCTCATCTTCTCGCATGTAGGACCGTGCACGAGACGTACGAGGCCAACTTTACCGCGAGTATCGCGCGTGTGGAGCAAGAGCTTGAGCGGCTCAAGGAGCTGCGCAAGACTGTCGTCGGCGCCTACGATACGGGGAAGCAACAAGTCGAGGCTTCGTTCAAAGACGCGTTTGCGAACGTCGACGCGATGATTGCTCGTCTGCAAGCCGACTCGAGCGCCGTCCTCGCCGACACGTCGTACCTCGACGCGTTCCAAGCTGAAGCCGCGCGCTTCTTGATAGAGTAGATTCCGCACGCAATGCATCGTGTTGAGCTCTTATGTGGCGCAACCCTTTGCTACTACGACCTCGACTCTAGTCCAAGATGCCCGATTCGAGGAGCAAGTGTTGAAACTTTTGGAAGACGACGAGCTGCTCTTCGTTCGTCAAGCGCTCGAGCACGCGCAATATGTTGGAGACGCGGTCCGGACGCTGGATAAAGTTGGTAAAGTACACGAACGTAAACATGCCCATGATGATCTGGCAGTCCATGCGGTCGACGACGCCGCCATGGCCCGGAATGCTCGTGCCAAAGTCCTTGATCTTGAACGCGCGCTTGAAGCCGGACGCAAAGAAGCCCCCAAACGGCGCGACGATCGACGCAAATATGGCGAAGAACACCATGTGGTACTGGATCGGCGCAATGGTCACGTCGTGAAGCATCTCGGGCACGTACTGCGACAGCGTTGGGTACGCTTGAAGCGGCAGTGGCACAAAGATCTGCGCGGGCGTGCAGCTCTTGAACGCAAGGTGGAAGCCGACCTGGGGACACACCATCATCTCGTACTGCGCCATGAAGCGGGAAAAGCCCATCGACCAGAGCACGGTCGCGCCGTACGCGCCAATAAAGCCCTCCCACGTCTTCTTGGGCGACAGCTTGGGAATCAGCGGCGTCCGGCCCCAGAAGAAGCCGAAAATGTACGCAAAGACGTCGTTGACAATGATGAGCGAGCACGGAAGGAGGAACCAGATGAGGCCTTCAAACATGTTGGAGATCATAAACGTCGACTGCGCGACGATCATGAGCAGCGCGACGTGGCAGAAGGCAAACTGCGAGAATTGGTACTTGTAGTGCTTGCGCTTCCGGAGGCTAAAGACGAACGAGACAAAGCCGACGACGTACAAGGCAAACGAGATCGCAGTGTGGTGCTGCACGATAAAGCCCTTCTCGAGAAAGTAGAGGCCAAAGACCCGATCAAACTCGTGGACTTCAAAGTGGGGCATGAGCGCGCGGCCATAGACAAAGAAGGTGCAGACGAGGAACCAGTAGTAGTAGAGCCGCCGGAACATGGGCATCTCGTTCTCGACTTGGTGCTTGAACATGAGCGCGACGAGCTCGCCGTACATGATGGCCTGCAGCACAAACACGAGCGCGCAGCAGCCCGGCTGCTTGAGGCCAAAGACGATTCCGAGGAAGGCCACGATCATGAGCAGCGTGTAGATCGTGCGCGTCTTGAAGCTCTGCCACTTCTTGGCCTTGTCCTCGTCGACGAGCAACGTGACGTCCTTGGCCTTGGTCGTAAAGTCCCAGCGCGGCTCGCGCCAGCCCGTTGCCGGCTGCTCCACCATCGAGTCGGAGCTCTCGTCGGTCTCGTCGCGCCGGCGCGGCTTGGCCTCGCGCCGACGACGTACCACGGCGCCGCTCGACATTGGCGGTTGCGCGTTGGATTGGAAAGCGTTTTACGCCGTTGAAGGCGTTTTATCTACCGGTTAAAGGCCTTGCGAGCCGGTTAAAAGACAGTGGCGGGCGTTGAACGCCAATGGACACGGTATATAGGCTAAACGCAACGAGTGGTGGAAATACGACGCTTCAAAAATCCTGAAATATGTCCAAGTTGGCCATGCGACAAGAGGCAAGGACCATGACGCTGGAATGATGGATGATGCTTGTGTTTGGATTGTGATGAAATAGCACAAGAATTCAGGCCCATCAACCTGCCAGCAACCTGCCAGCAACGATAGGCCTATCTATGAACCAAGCATATATCTTCTAATAGCGTCCGTGGTCGCGTGCTGTGACGACCGCGTGACGACGTGCAGTGAAGACGTTGGTTGAGAGGTGTCTAGCCGCGTGCCCACCCAAGACGCAGTGCACGCGCAATATAACGCATGATATAGCGTTAAAACGATGTAAGACCTCGTATTAAGACTCCTGGCGTGTTCAAGAAGGGGCGGCGGGCCGCCTGCTGCAGGTGCTGGGAGCTGGCAATGATCGGCCATCGACTGCGTGGTCGAGGGTGGGGACATTACGTTCGCGGTGCGTCGTCGTGGGTGTCCTCAATTTACGTCGACGCAAATGCGTCTCTGTTTCGACACAAAAGCACAAGTGTGTCACGCTATCTCTCTTACACCAACACAGGTGGCAACGCTGTCGCAAATGTGCAACACGTCGGCCGCGACGCAAATCGACGGGCGAACACAAATCTGGTTTCGCAGAACGTGACAGCGAGTCGCAGAGTAGTCCCACATCGCAATCTGCCATGGCCTCGCCAGTCTCGACCGAGTCGGCCGACGTTGTCGCGCGCTGCAAGAGCCTCGCGGCGCAAGGCGTCACCAGCGCCGCGAGCGTGCCCAGCACCCCGCCGACGAGCGTGGCGGCGCGCCTCACGCGCGTCGGCCTTGGCTGGAATGACCTCTCGACCTTGATGAAGCAAGCGCTTCTTTGGGACCACGGCCTCGTGCAGACCGACGCGACGATGTTGACGCAAGTGTACACGAGCTGCGAGAGCGACGGCGTCGGCAGGGCCATGGCCTCGATTGGCCTCACCAAAGCCGAGGTCGCTGCCGCCGGCGTCGCGATCGCGGCCTGCCCCGCATCCACCGGTAGCTACGCGCGCCAGGACCTTGGTTCGTTCCCGCTCAAGCTCACCAAGTGCGCGGTCCCGCTCAAGAGCGCGTTTACGAGCAATGCGAGTGTGTGGAGCCAAGACGCGCTCGGATCGAATCGGCCGTTTGACCTGCGTGTGTACCAGCACTCGGCGACGTCCGGCGCCATCATGGCCATCCACGCGATTAGCGCTGGCGGCGCCGACTCAGGCACGACGACGTCGATCGGGTCGTGCCCTTTGACGCCCGGCGGCCTCGCCATTCCGTGCGCCGTCTACTCGACCGCGGTCGTCTCGTCGAGCAGCGGCAGTGGCGCTGTCCCCAAGTGGTGCATTCCGCCGACCTCGGACGCCATGACCACATGGCTTCTCGAGGTGCGGGCAACGAGCAAGCCGGCGGCGTCCGACGCGTCGTCGTCAACCGCCGCGATTGTGCTCGGTGTGCTCCTCGGCGTCGTGCTGCTCGCGGTTGGCGGCTACTGGTTTCTCGTACTCCGCAAGCCGCGCAAGAAGAAGCGACGAGCGACCGACTCGCCGGGGTTCCTCGGCAATGCGTTCTTGCGCCACAACAACCAGCGCCGCGACCTCGAGCCCGAAGACGAAGACTCGTACGAGCGCCAGCTCCAGGAAATGAACGTCGGGACCGCCGCCGCGTCACTCAAGCTCAACGCGTTCGAGCACGACCCGTTTTGTTTTCGCGGCGCTTGCCCTACGGCGCCGTGAGCTGCCACCGTATTTTGTCCAAAGGCGCATACGGCGAAGTCTGGCTCGGCTCGTTCCGCGGCAAGGAAGTCGCGATCAAGAAGATTCTGCACGCCAAGCGCCACGACACGTTTGAGCTCGAGTGCTTTACGGAAGAGATTCGTATCATGGCGGCGCTGGACCACCCGCACATCGTCCACCTCATTGGCTTTGCGTGGGACACGCTCACGAACCTCTGTGCGGTCACCGAGTACCTTGCCAAGGGGATGTGACAGGGTACCTCGTGGCCAACATGGAGTTGAGCTGGGACGCCAAGCTGCGTCTGGCTGTCGGCACGGCGCGGGCGCTCGCCTACCTCCATGGCCGGTCCCCCGCGGTGATTCACCGGGATCTCAAGAGCAAGAACATCCTCGTCTCGGATGCTGGCGAAGCGAAACTGAGCGACTTTGGCATCTCCCGTACCCGTGTCGCGGACGAGACCATGACCGTCGGGGTGGGCACGGTGTACTGGACCGCCCCCGAAGTGCTTCTGGGTCAAAAGTACACGGAGCAAGTCGACATTTACTCGTTTGGCGTCGTGCTCTGCGAGCTCGATACGCACCGCGCGCCGTACGCTGACATGCAAGAGGTCGCGCAAATGGCGATCGCCCAGCGCGTCGCAACGCATCAGTTCCGCCCGCCGTTTAGCGCCAAGTGCCCGAAGCTCGTGAAAGACCTTGCCGACCGCTGCATGGCCCAGGACCCGAGCGCGCGCCCGAGTGCGCAGGAAATCGTCGACCTCATTGAGCTCTGGAAGGGCTGGAAACAGGCCTAGCGACAAACTGGTGCGCACGCTCTCTTTCTTATGTATTGTTGTCGTCTTGGATCTATGCTGCGAATAACTATGCGAATCTGTTCGATTGTGGCGTCAAGCACTCGTAGGCCAGCTACTACAACGCGTGGTGTGTTGGGCGAGGCGCCATAGGGGGTTGGGGTTGGACTGCTGTGGTTAGGGGAGCAGAGTCGAGGCGCTTCGAGCCGTCCACGAGCTTACCACCCCTATGGATAAAAAGTGTCGAACGACCTCCAACGACTTCGTTCGCGGGGTGGTGTTGTCGTCGTAATTGGTGCTTGTGCCGAGCCTGCGTCCTTCGTGATAGTCACACTATTACGATCATCCTCAATCGTGTTGTAATACTATTCTAGTGAAGCTGAAATAGCGTACGTGCATCGGCTATGCCCAGCCCGATCCCTGGTTTGAAGAACCTAGGTGTTTTCTTATGATGACAAAAGGCAAACATACCGGGCTTTAAGAACACACGTCCGTATATCGCTCGCCGCACAAACACAAGATCATCTTCCATTTCCCACTCGAGCGCAACGATGACGTCGACCGAGCCAGCGATGCAAGTCTTCGAGTGCGTTCGCAACATGTGGGCGACGCGGGCCTTGGCGACCGTCGCGTCGCTCAAGATTCCAGACCTCCTGCGCGACGGCCCGCTGCGCGCCGATGAGATTGCGGCGCAGCTCGGGCTCCATGCCGACAGCGTCTTTCGCCTCCTTCGCGCAGTCGCGTCCATGGGCTTTCTCTCGCACGACACCACCAACGTCTTTGCGCTCACACCATCGGGCGAGGCGCTCATCTCGGACGTCCCGGGCTCGATGCGCTCGTACCTTGTGGCCATGACGGCGCCGGGGCACTGGCTGCCGTGGGGCAACCTCGAGCACACGATCCGCCATGGCACACCAGCAACCGACATGGTATTATCCGCCTTCTTTTGCGCGTCGTAGCGGTCTCTCAAACTGCGTAGGAGCTCGGCGCCGACCTCGGCAGCTACTACGCCAAGAACGAGGCCGAGGGCCACCTCTTCAACGACGCAATGGCCAACGTGTTTGCGATCTCGGGCGCCGTCTGCCTCGAGCACTACGCCTTTGACGACGTCGTGACCGACGACATGACGGTCGTCGACGTTGGCGGCGCGCACGGCGACTTTCTCATGGAGGTGCTCGCCGCGCTCAACCGCCCCGAGACGATCCGCGGCGTCCTCTTTGATTTGCCCCATGTGGTCCAGGAAGCTGCCACGTATGGCAACCTGAGTCTTGCCATTGACTGCGTGCCGGGCGACTTTTTCGAGTCGGTGCCGCCCGGCGACTTGTATTTGCTCAAGCACATTTTGCACGAGTGGGACGACGCGCATTGCGTGACGCTGCTGCGTCACATCCGCGCGGCGATGCCAGCGACCGGCCGCGTACTCATCGTTGACGTCGTCCTCGCCGAGACGCCCGACGACTCGACCGCGATGCTGGACCTCAACACGATGGTCATGTTTCGCGGCCGCGAGCGCACGGAAGCCGAGTTCCATGACCTCTTGAGCGCCGCCGAGATGCACCTCGTGCGTGTCATCCGCACCGGCACGCCTTTCTCGATCATCGAAGCGGTTGCGATCTAAGCTACTAATATGCTTGGCTACTACAACGCTATCACGCTGCTTTCAACGACCAAGGAGAGTTGTGGCCTTGACGTAGCTCACGCTGCATGGCTACACGTCTCGATGCTGCCTCACCGGTGTTAGCAGCCATCGCATCGGCCCTTCAATTGCACGGTCGACACGCGGTGGCCAGGAAGGTGCAAGCCGGGCACGCCGTCGTGCCAACACAAGGCGACAGACCATGATGCAACACTTTATGGAGGACACGAGACGCCATGGCATGTAGCAAGCTCATGTACATACGGTAGCATGGAATAGCTCCAGCAATGCATGGCACAAAGGGATGCACTTGGATTGTAGCCCCGCCTGTCTCGGTCATGGGTGCAGCGGTCGACCACATAGCTGTCGACTTGGCGTCGTCGACGCGGTGTCCTGTGGTGCTGCCACGACGGCGGCGATCCGCTGCACCAAGAGCGACCGGCTGCGATCTTTAAAAAAATCGAAACTCAAAATCGAATAAGTATTTTATTTCTCGACCATGGTCCTCGAAGCCAAAGCGGATGGCAGCTTCGACGTCGACGCCGCCGGCGACGACTGGGAGGCGCTCAAGGCCGAGGGCAATGGCCTCTTTGCCCAGAAGGACTACGTCGCGGCCATCGACGTCTACGCGCGCGCGCTCGCTGCGGCGCCGACGGACCAGCAGCACCTCGTACTTGGCAATCGGTCGTCGTGCTTTTTTCAGCTGCAGCGGTACAGTGACGCGCTCGCCGATGCCAACGCGGCGCTCGCGCTGCAGCCGCAGTGGGAGAAAGGACGCGCGCGCAAGCAGTGCATTCTCAAGGCCATGGCGGCGGCGAAGGCGGCGAAGGTAACGACGACCGCCAACGCGCTGCGCGGCCTGTACGTCGAGAAGGACCCGGTCGTGCCCGACGAAGACGCGACCAAGCCGGCGCAGATGCTGTGGCGCCGCTTGAAGCAGTCGCTGGCGTCGCAGCACCAGGGCTGCCTCGACGGCATCTTTGCCAAGTTAAGCAACGAACGCGACTTCGTGCAGCTGGTCTACCCCGGCATCTCGGCTGAGGACATTCAGCGCCAGCAGTTGCCGCGGTCCTTGCGTCAGCTCCTTTCCGATGCGGCCACGTACGAGTCGGAGCTCATTGCTCTCATGCCGAAAGTCGAAGCCAAGGCGAACCTTGTGCTCGCGAACGTGAAAGCCAAGGGCGCGGCGCAGGGCGAGATCATGGACGCTGCGACCGAGGCTGTTTTGCGACCGCAGGTGTTCAACGAGGCCTTTGCGCGCGAACTCCTGAGCATGATCCAGCGCGTCAATACGCAAAAGCATGCATTGCTGGCCCAAGACGCTCGGTTTCTTGCGAACCCGGACGCCGAGTGCGCGCACCTCGCACGCATCGACGACGTTGTCGGCGACCGTCTCTTCCGATCGTGCTCGGTGCCGTGTGGCGTGCTCGATGGCTTCATGGGCGACGAGTACATTCCCTTCTTGCGCAGCGATGCGCTGCGCCTCCGCAAGCAAGGCAAGCTCCTGCCCGTCGGCCCCCATGCGATGCGCTTCTGGACAACCGAGAGCTCGTTGAACGAAGACTTTCCGGCGCTCGCCGACGTCGTCGAGAAGCTGCACATGCTGCCCTTTGCGCTCAACCGGCAGTTTGACCTTCGGCTCTGCGACGAAACCAAGATGGAGGTCGCGTGCTCCACGTCGCTGGTGTGCCTCGAGACGGGCCAGTCGCAGCCGCGCCGTCTTGACTGCGGTCCACATGGCGATCCTAACGACAATGGCTACAAGCTCACGTGCGTCTACTGCCTCGGGGGTGACGAAAACGCGTTGGGCGGCGACCTCGAAGTGACGCCGCTCTCGTCCGGTGTCCCGACGGTCGTTGCTGCCAAAACAGACCGGCTATGGCTCTTCAAGAGCCAAGAGGTGCTCAACGCGCTCACGTCCGTGACGTCACCGAGCCCGATGTTTATATGGTGTTTCGTATCCACGGGATGGTGCCCTTGTCACCGTAACCTTTGCATCAATGTATCAACCGCACCGGAATATCCATGGCCGACCCGTGTATCAACGACGCACTCGTACTTTATTACAGCCACGCACAAGACTACTTGCATTCTTGGTCGTCGACGATGGCCCCCCGGGCGTCAAGGTAGCTCGCCAGTGCGACCGGTTTGGGTTTCGGGACCTTGCCCTTGGAGACGACGACGACGGGTGCTGTTATGGGCGGATCGCAGTTTTTTGTGGTCGATATTTCTCGCAAAACGACAGGCGGGAGGTACTGGATTGCACTCGTGACACGGAGCTCGACGCAGCTTCTGGAGGCGGCGAGCGGCTTGTGGCGGATCGATTTCATTGGCTTGGCGTGCGCACTAGGGTGCGCGACAACGGCGCGCTGGCCCAGCAGCGGCAGCGGCGGCCCGAGGGATGAGAGCGACTTGGACTGAACGATGGCGCACTGCTGCGAGAACGAGTCGGGTGCGAGCGTCGGTGGCGCCGCTTGGTGGCGGTGGGGCCAGCACGTGATACAAAACATCGAGTAGCATGGCGAGCACCAATAGAGCGCTTCGTTGACGAGGCAGTCGGCGCAGACAAGGACCATCGGGTCGAGCAGCGGCGGCAGCTCGTCACCACTTCCTGGTACTACCTTTTCAAACACAATCGCACCCTCTTTGGTCGTCGGTAGCTGCCGACCGCGCTTGGGCTGCAACTGCGTGGACGGCGACACGACGTGCGATCGATGACTGCTGCCTTGGCGCGAGTCGAGCAGGAGGTTCCGCGGACTCACCACGAACGCATGGGCTTCATCAGGTTGGACCGTCGCGAGCGGGTTTGAAAGGCTGAGGTACTTGCGCAGCCGCAGCTTGCGCTTGAGGTTCTCTTCTTGCGTCATATATGCTTCGCGGGCCATCTCGCGGGAGCCTCCTCGGCGCGACGCGCTGCAAGCAAGCGCGGCGAGGCTCAACGGCGGCGCCATCGTCATTGCGATCGACTCGAGCGGTCGCCACTGCAGCGTTGCCGCATCGACAATCGCATCAAAGAGCGTCGTCACGGCCTCGAAGCACGCGGCAATCGTTGGGTCGAGGATAAAATGGCCCAAGACAGCATTGAGCGCCGCGACAAAGTCGTCGTAGCCCACGCGCGGTGGCGTCTCGAGGAGCGAGATCGCGTCCAGTGCAATCAAGCTATAGCGCCGCGCAATCCGCTGTGTGAGCGCGGTCCACGCTTCGTTGGGCACGACGAGGGACTCGGAGATGGAGGGTCCCGCCGTCGCGAGGACGACTTGGTACGGCAGTGCGTACAGCTTGTCGAGCTTGCATCGCAGCGCGTGGGTGTCGCAAATGCGCTGAAACATGGTCATTGCGGGTGTAGCTGTGAGCAGTTGTTGCGTGCAGACAACGACGTTCTTGGTGTCGTTGAGGGGCGTGGCCGTGGTGGCGGCGCGGACCGGCCGGTGGCGCAGCGGGCGGTGGATCGATCCGGTCGTCGCCGGGTGTTTGCGCGGGCTCTGGCGCGTCGGTGCCTGCATCATCGCCTCGATGCCAAAGACGCCGCCATGCAACGTGGTTGCGCCAGTCAGGAGCTCGTCCGCGTCGAAGTCGCCCCAGCGGTCGACCATGGGAATCTAAAAATATTCAACTTTGTCGTTCAAGTTGAAGTGGATGACGGCGAGGCGGTCGCCGCGGCCGTTCAACGACGTCCACTGGCGCTTTCTGCAGCCATCGTCCCGGGCGGTATGCCCGCCATCGCATGCGGACGAGCCTTTTCTACCGCCGAGTTTCCTCGATGCGCTGACGCTGCAGCACACGTTCGACAACGAGTATGTCGACCCGACGGAAAACAAGATTCTGTCGCTCCTCACGGGCGAGGCGCAGCGCGACGACATGCTGGATTCGCTCATGAACGAGCTCCAATTGCTGCGGAGTGAGCACGAGAAGGCACCAAAGACCGACCACCACGACTTTAGCCACGCACCCGATGCCTTGCCGCAGGCGCCTCACGCGCCACTGAAGACGCGCCGGCTCTCGATCTTCCGACCCGAAGACATGCAGATGGTCAAGGACACGGCCCACGCACACATTTGCGGCAAACTCGACTTGCTTCAAAACGAAGCCAGCGGCAAGACGCCGGCGCCGGCGCCGATGCCGGAGCGACCGACTACGCCACACATTCTGTGGCGCGCCTCGGACCGCGTGCGGCTCGCGCTCGACGTTCCCGCCGAGCTCCAAGGCGCGCCGCCCAAGGCTAATTCAGTGGTATCGCCAGAAGCGGTGACGCCGAAACCTCGCGTGAAAAAGAAAAAGGCGGCGTACGGCGCGTGGTACCTGCCGCCCAAAGACTGGTGCAAGCAAACAACACCCGACGGGGCGCGCAGTCGGGGCGCGCAGGCCAAGCCAAGCGACAGGGCAAAGGCGCTCGAGCAAATCCCAAAGCTCTTCATTGCACGCGAGTACCGCAGCTTCATCGAGGCCCGAAACGCACGTCTACCTCCGTATTTGAGCGAGCCGTCGTAGCGTTGTCACGCTTGATACATTGATAGTTTGCAGTGTTAAGCTGTGAACGACTCTACAATGGATCGGCACGGAAGCGAACCGAGCATCATGTAGGTCGACGACGGGTCGCAAGAGTGTTCATGACGCGACCTCCTCGTACGAGAGAGTAGCGGAGGTGGTGATACAGCGACTCCCTTTGTATCAAAAACTTGAGAACGAGTCGAGCGAGACAAAGCTCAAGCGACCTGTTGTGGAAAGGACAACCGGAGGCGACAAAGACGGTGTCCAAGACGATCCGAGCGGTGCACGACCTTCAACATAGTTAAACACGCGTCATCACGCCGTCACTTGGCCGACAGGACTGACAATAAGTAAATTATCCAAGGTTGAAATGTAGATCATCCTGTCTTGAGACTGTGCCGACAGCGTTCACATTGTCGTTTGCGACGAAGGTGACGTAGTCAAGGCACCTGAGGGGCAGTCCGTCTCTGAACGACGCCGTTGAAATGTCTTCACGCCATGAACAACTGCGGCGTCTCCGACGTCAACGTCAGCGAGACCTCGAACGCTTTCAAGACGTCGCGCAAGGCGGGTGTCGGCTCCACGAGGCCGCGCGCCGCACGCACTACCAAAAGCGCGGCTTCGTACGGGAGTCGAAACGTGTGCATGAGGTACGCGATGCAGACGGCACCACTGAAAGCAACACCCGTCTCGCAAAAGACGAGCACGGTCCCATGCACCGCAAGCGTCTTCCGCAGGAGGTCGACGCTTGCGATCGCGTCAAAGCCGACCTTGTCGAGTTCCAAGCGCACGAGCGTGTCGCGGGCGGTGGTCCCCGCTTCGATCCCGTCCAGCGCGTTGGTTGTGACCGCGACAAACCCGCGTGAAAAGGCGGCGACGTGTGACTGTGACGAGAGAAAGGCCAGCGACGAACCAATGAAGAGGCCGGGCGCGACTTGCTGCTTGTCGGACGCGATGGCCACCGAGATTCGCTCGCGCCAAACGTAGCTGTGCACGCTCGAGAGCAGTGGTAGGCGCAGCTCGCGAAGGAGTTCCAGCAGGCCGGCTTGGACGTTGGCGAGGACATCGTCCCCGACATGAGGAGCGTAGACAACGAGAAGGTACAGGTTCTCGAGCTGCTCTTCGAGTTCTACGTGGCGGAAATCGAGCGGGCTCGATGGACTCGTGAGGCGGTATCGGTACCGGGTGTACGCCGCGTAGAGTGCGACGAAGAAGCGGAGGCTGCGCACACGCACGACGGTTGAGCCCATTCTGCAACTGGAAGGATATCGTCATGTAACGAAGATACGCAATCTTGGCGGAAGCTAGTAAAAAGGGGTTCGTCGCGGTGTTTGCTACTAACTATGTAGCTGCTGAGAGGAAGGTGATGGCTGTGGCGAATCGACAAGTGACTAGAGATGGAAACGACGACTGCGCGTACAGCACCACCGAACGACACTGGTGCCGTGTCTGGTGTCAACGCCATCGAAAAAATGGGTGATGGTGTTGAGACGATCGTTTTGAGAGCGGAGCTGCGAAAATGCTCCCAAGCTTGATTTCGGCTCCCGTTCAGCTTAAGCAACCCGTCCCCCGAGGCTGGGGCGGTAATTCAGGCAATACGCCCTTTTCGCCCCCTGCCTGAGCATTCTCGCGTATCGAAAGAGCACAGTTTGCACTTCAGAGCTTTTGTGCAACGATGGAAAATCGAGGATTTCCAGCTGCCCACAATCCTCGATCGTCGTGCGCGCATGGGAACAATTATTCGGATCTTACTCTGCAACGCTCGGGGCTTGTAAGCTGGCGAGGACTTCATCCACGAGGGCAAAGTACGCTTTGGCAAGCGCATGGCCCTTAACTTGGAGCACCCGACGGAAATGCGTCTCGACGAGAATACGAGGCGGCATCGCCGTCATCGACTCGGTGTACAAATTCGGATATTCGGTTCGTAGGAGCGCGGCCACCGAGGGGTAGGGTTCGTTGGGCTCGAGCACCGAGACGGTTCGAATCACGCACTGGGTCTTTGAGACACGCCGCACTTCGTTCCTACAGTATCCGGTATTACCGCTTTCTCAAATACTGTGAAGTACCATTCTTGAAAGGTGTCAAGGCGGTCGCTGGCAAAGAGATCATCATGACGAATCGACCGGTAGGCGACGAGGACGCGCTCGTCGTCGATCGTGACGCGTCGATGCAAGACGTTGACGCTGCGCCCGTTGCAGAGCTCGCGCACATAACTCATCTCGCTCTCGGCATTCATCTCATGGTGCAACGACTAGGCGTCAGCATTGCGTTAAACTATTGCATCGAGCACAACGATCGAAAAATCACGCACCTCGACGTCGCTCGAAACAAGGAAATTGGGGTACAAGTGACACTCGGGCGTCGCGCGGTTGACAAGCCAAAGTGCTTTGGCGGCCTCGTGCGTCGACGCCGTCACGATCTTTTGCATGACGAGCTTCCGGCTGAGCCGTGACCACTCGACCCGGATCGAGTCTTCCAGCGTGTGCGGAAAGAGTGCCGGGTGCAAGCGCTCGTTCGCAGCATGGTCGAGCTGCTGCGCAATCCAAATGTACCCGAGTTGTCGAGTGCGCGGCTCCATTGGAAGGTACGCGTCGCGCCACGAGGCTTCGGCGAGTCGAGGTGGTGCCGCCTACACAATAGGCCTGGTTTAGGCCTCGGCTGCATCTACGGAATCAATGTTGTATACGGGGATGCTCGCCGTAGCGTCAACCCATGCCTGCAGCTCGCGCACGAGCGACGAGGTCGTTACGAGCTCGGCCCGAAGCGCCTTGTTTTCAAGGACACTCGACTGCGTGCTGGTGCGTAATGCGAGCGCCACGTCCTGCCATGACAACTGCGTGCCCTGGAGGACGCTGGCCGCTTCACGGAGCTCGGCGATCGACGCGACAAGCGCCGCAACATCGCGCTTGTGTTGTTCGCGGGCCTTGCGCTTCGCCTCCCGGTCCCGGGTCCGGCGTCGCTCGTGGACCGCAGTGGTGCGCATCGTCGCCTCGTGTCGTGGAAGGTTGAATTGAGAGTGCACTAACACAACACACAAGGTCTCGGCCGTAAGGACGGAGATAACGGTGGTACCAACTGCGGTAATTGCCTCAAGAAACCCCGCCCTCCGCGAGGAAGCTGCGACATGTCAGCGCACTCGGTCGACGGCGTATGGAAAAGAATGAGAGCGTCGCCGTCTCTGAGGCTGTGACCGCACACAACTGGTATTACGTGCAGCGGGTCGTTCGGACGTGACTACAGTGGGTGGGGCACCTAAATCACGTCAACAACGTCGCAAACATCAAGGGGTCGTGACGTATACTTCAAAAAGGCGGCCACGACGACGCCCCAGGTGTTGGTTGTACCAGTACACTGTGCAGGAAAGTACTAGGAAAGGCTCTCGTCGTGTCTTGCTTCATCTGGGTTTCAGGGTGTGGCGAGCTGCCGTGGACACCCCAGCCTGTCTCGTCCATGCGCAATGCAAGAGAGCCATGCGAGTACTAGTACATGTATTATATCGACGCTTCCTTGCTAGAACGCTAATATCGTCGCAGTGTGCGTTGGCGCGACGACCGTACGATCGTCTTCTTCTCCCATGGCGTCACGCCGTTGATGCTACAGTCTGTGGCGACATAGAGTTGAGGTAGCTCCAGCCCGGAACGGCGTCCAACCTGGCGCTTCGAGAGACCAGCAGTGGTCGTGTCCAGCACCGCGTTTGAAGATACTACATCTGCATTGGGTACCGCTCGACGGAACGCGTTGTGGGATGGTTCACCCCGTAGTCGGCGTGGCAACAGTCTGGTTGGCATCGACCTAGCATGTTTTCACGTCGCCTCTCCGCACAGTAGGTCGCGAGGACATCCAACCCGGGCGCATGGCCACCGAGTCGCCCTTATGTTGCTAGTGAGAGACGGCCCACGACCTCACGCATGCCTCGACAGCACAAGTGTCGGGGTGGCGTACGATGCTTGCGCTTGTTTGTGAAACTAAAATGCAGCGAAAAGGGCGACACAAATATGTATTTGACCAGGCTCAAAGTGGCGCCTCGCAATCCATACTAGAAATATCCATCAATACATACTGCAACATTCTTCAATGTCCTCGATTCGGGTGGCAATGCAGTGGCCTCGACAAGTCTTACGACTGCGATACCGTGCTGCGCCGACGTCGCCCGCGTCGCTTTTGCCCCAGTGCGTTGTCGACGACCACGACTATGCGACCTCGCTGCTGCTTGGTGGGCTTCGTCGCTGGCTTGACCGGAGTCTTGACGTTTGGGGTCTTGGCGAGCTTGGTCGTTGGGCGTCGCTTGCGCACCATCGCGGTGGCCTTTTCTTGGCCGACTGGTTTTCAACGGCTTGGTGCTGGTCGCCTCGGACGCGAGCTCTGTCGCTTGGCCCTGTCCCATCTCATGGGCCAGCGAGAACGTGTGTTGACGCAGCAGATTGGAGATGAATCGCTGAAGCCCGAACGAACCAACGAGCAACTCCTTGTGCACCGCCTCGTGCTGGGTCGTCCTCGGCGTGGCAACCACGTCGCCAATGACGGCAACCCGGAACCCGCGCAAAGTTGTGTCTAGAAAACGGACCAGCGCCGGGAGATTAGTGGCCACGATGTCGGAATGCATGCGTGCGAGGTACGAGACGGCACACTCAGCCACGCGCACGAGCCCCTGCAGCGACTCCGAGCCGAATTGGTCCACAATCATCGTCAGCCCAGAAAGGGCGCTGCGAATGTCGGCGATGGAAGAGGGTGTCGGCGGCACGGGCAGCCCTTGGCGTGGCGAAGCCCGTAGCGTGTTGAGCCACGCGTCGATCTCGGGCTGCTCGCACAGCTTAAAGTGCATGAGGGACAGGCGGCGCGGGCCAAAGTCGACGTGAAAGAATGCTGCGAGGAGTGACGGCGAGATCTTCAAGCGCTCGAGGTACAGCGCATCAGCGCGCAGCCACCAGCCAAGCGGCGTCAAGTGCGCCAGCGACTCGCTTACAACGAGGTTGTGGATGGCACACTCGAGGTTCGTCGGGTCAAACTCGCCGTGCGTCGCCTCGCGCATGGTCTCGGGGTGGCTCTTAAAGATGGTCAGCATGTCTTGGCCGTTGGGCGCGGTCGAGGCTGCGACGACGGTAACTTGGCTCGGCGAAGGTCGTCCCATGCTGGCTCCGGACGTGGCCATGGTGCTGGTTGCGTCACTTTCGAAATACGACGCTTGGATTTGCGAACCCCCAAAACGAATATCATGGTGTAGAGGTGTTTAACTTGTGAGGTTACATTGTATATAGGATGAATCCTAACTTTTATGGAAAAAAAGTTAGTTGATCAAGGCATCCCTTGCGGTTGATATACTACTCCCACCAAAAAGGGCAGGACATTATTGGAGTCGCCAATCCGCGTGGCATTTCACCGACGAGGTCCACAATAGAACTAACGCGGAGACTACAAATTGTTGGATTGATTGATTGATTGATTGATAGATTGATGAGTGGTGTCAATCCCGGCGATTCAGTGGTGTCGGCTCGTCGTCGTTGTTTGCGTACTCTCATGTTCACACGAGCATGTCGAAGGGGTATTGAGGAAAGCGGACGACCTTGGAAACGTCGCCTTCCGACACAGTCTTATGGCTACTGACGTTGATGTCGGTCCACACTGTCGCTGGGGGTGGTACTGTGCATTTTCTAGGCACTGCTACAATCAACATCGCAATGACGGCACTCACTGGATCTTTTCTGCAATGCAAAAGACCACCGTACCGCATACATGCTCAGGCGTAGCTGCATCCAGGTCGACGATGGGCGCAGAGACCAGGGGTAGGGTAGAAACGAGACTTCGCATTCACCGGCCCGCGCTGCGGTGTACATGGCCGAACGCCGTCCTAGCCCTTTCGTACTACCGACGAGGTGATCGAGAAACGAGGCTAGCGAGACATTGGTGTAAAACGTACTTGGTTCGGATACAACACTAAGATGATCCCACCAAGATCACGCAGTCGCTGGCGTCTCTCACGAGCTCGTCAAATTGCGTAGCTTTGCCGCCGATGGCGACGCAACGCGTGGAAGGACTTGACAGAGCTTTGATGTCGTCATGGGCCGCACCCACGACGTCAGAAGAGCACGACGCGGCACCACCGCTCAGCGAGCGACTGGATAAGAAGAAGACTATATAGATTGCTTTCTGCTCTCTACAGGAGACTTTAGAATGGCTACCGCGGCAGACGTTCATATATATATGATATAGTAGTATACAACAACATCCCTATAGCCTCGTTTGGTATTGCATCGTCAGCGGGTCCACGAGACTCTCGAGCACGGCGGTAACGTTGGCAAAGTAGTCTTCGGTTTGCCGCAGCGTGCGCGCGCGGAGTGCTCGCTCCACGCAGGCTTCGAGGATCTCGGGCGACGCCGAGCCAGCCACCGCGCGGTACACGTCCGGGAAGAGCGACCGGGCGTACGCTGCCATCGAGTCGTACGACTCGACGGGCTGGAGCACGCACACGCTGCGCAGCAAGCACGCTTCGGGCGAGAGTTGCCGGATCTCATTCCTACGAGTCCCTTTGCTTGAGCATGTGTTTTCGACTCCACAGTGCGATAACCCACCATTCTTGAAAGGTCTCGTCGGGCGCGGGCGTGGGTCGCGAGCGCATCGCATGCAATGGTGCGAACATACTCA